GGGGGGGGGGGGGGGGGTTTGGGGGGTGAGAGGGGGTAGCAAGGTACCAAGGTAGGAGGGTAGGGTAGAATTTTGTTTACACTACTACATATTTTACATGGTGAGAGGTGCTGTGGGGATGCAAGGTAGCAAGGTAGGAGGGTAGGGTAGAAGTTTGTTTACATGGTGAGAGGGGAAGGTTGAAAATATGATGATCTTAAAATGATAAGAATTTTACATCCTACTCTGCTGGGTCCTGGTTGAGATTACGGAGACAAACATGCAGTGTTCAATGAGGGAAACTTATCAGGACAGCATGAGATTTATTAATCATGTTTCTGTCTGTATTCCAGCTATGATAGCTACTTTGAAGTTGTTGGCTGATGTAGAGACAGAAAACTAGGCCCCGTTTTGAGGGGATTTTCCACATCTCTGAAGCGATAGTGCAGGGTTTTAAAAGCTATTTATTTAAATCATACCCAGATATATTCAGCTATACCACCATAATCCTCTTACATTAAAATTTTAATTTGAAATCAGTTTTTGACATGCTGTAAGGAATGCTGATCTGACTTTAATTTCAAAATATGAGTGGAAATATATTAGAGAATGTTGCAGGCGTACAAGAGAACATGGAATACAGTCAATATATATATACAATTATTTGTCAAATTTTGGCCTAATAGCATCAAAGGTTGTCATTTATGCAAAAACACAAAAAAAGAATAAAAATTTTCAATTATATTCAAGTTATAAGGTTATCTATGGTAATCGTGAAAGTTTAGACAGAATGTTGTAGGAGTACAGAATCTAGATCAAAATAGATATATATTCTCTACTAATACTTGACGTAACAAATCTTCAGAAATAAATAAGGAAATGTTGAAGGGTGTAAAAAAAGAACAAAGATTCTAGTTCAACCAACATGTGGTCATTCATTAAAGAGATAAATATATAGATATCCTCTATCTGATAACAATATTTATACAATGTGTTAAATAGTATGGTATAAATATAAGATGAAAGAGAGGTACCAATATACAGTTTGTATATATACAAATATAAACATTACCAAACCTAGAGGTTGT